GCACTGCTTATAGTGAACATCGTTTTAAAACCATCATTCCACATGCAAATAATGCTATTCAAAAATTAGCAAATGTAGCTATGAGTATGCTCAAGCCAGTAAGCACAATTCCACAGAAAGTACAGACTGTAAAGCCACAATTGCAGTTTGGCTGCCAAATTCACCAAGAAACTGGAAGTGACCTAACAGCTGTTCAAATAACCACAAAATATTAAAACACTCTTGTGAGAGATAAATTTCATCCTGAATAAGCCTACCCTCTCTCAGACAGACATTGGTTATTTGTCTATGACCACTCTATACAGACAGCTGTTTTCTCATTTGACTACCACACTATATTCTCAGTACACCCCTCCATCAATCTATCTGTATTCTGCTTCCAGATAATTCATTTTTGAAATAATGAACGATGGGGTTAAGAAGTTCTGGTGCTGATATGGTCTCCACTGTGTGAAGTTAAACACTACCAGGTCAAAATATCAGATAGAAGAAAAACATTTAAGCATGAACTTAAAGTCTAAGCATCAGGTCCTTTACATCCGGAACTCTAATTTCATGCAAACATTAATTCTCACCACAGAAAATTCAGACACTCTTCAAGTCAACTGAATTCTGACTATTGTTAATTAATTTCCCAACACAAAATCTAACACAAAATGGTGACTCAGGAACACTTTTTAAATTGGACTTGAATTCTTTTCATACCTACAGCATGATTTCTCTAACTCTAATGCAGACATCTGCATCAGAAATTGTCATGTGAACTCATTTTACACTCAATGGAAAGCAATACATATTTCTGGAGCACACTAGGCCTCAACCTAAGTCAGAACTCTAGAATAAACCATCTGATTCTTCCAAGTGACTACCAGGAAAAATGCAAACTATTAGCTCACAGGTACATTTACAAAATTATATTAATCACACAGTCTTTCAACTGGCCCCTTTAAAATTATGAGCCCTAATTTGCTCAGCGAGGGTTGATATGAAATATACAATGTGATAATAGCCCAAATGCAAACTAAAAGCTAAGCAAGCTGATTAACAGATACGTTTATACCAGCACGGTATAAGGATTTTTTTTCTGTAACAGAAACCACAGAGGGAGTTTTTAAGCAAAACCCATGTAAACGTGCACAACTTATATGCTTCAAGTTTTGCTTAGGAGTATTCAAGTGCTGTACCAGACATTTTGATTTACTGTCATTCACTCCTCATTACATTAAATGCATTTTTTATACATAAAATACATCCTTGTCTGTACAGATATTACCTTTTCACGTGGATTTGCACCTCTGATTTTCACAGAAGATAGAGGCCTGTATTTGCTCTATTTCAGTAACATTTCAGTTTTTAAGCCCTTCAAAATGGTTAGGTATTAGGTTCAGAAGCTTAGATATTACCTCAAGTACTGCTATAGGTTGTCTCTTCTGAAAATTCTATTGATTTGCCTCCTTTCAGCAATACATATTTACTGGCCAGACAGTATTTAATATTAAATATTCAGAACCTAAGCTATCCAACCCCAAAGAAACAAACAAAAAAAAAATCATTGCAAAGAAGCAATGCTTATCCTCTAAAACCATCAAATTAGGTCTGATTTTAAATATCTGTTTCAAAGTACATGCAATGCCTTGCTGTACCAGGGAGTGCCATCCATCACAACTCTCATCCCAGACCGCTGACTCATTCAAGATCCTTTCCTAGAGGTTCAAAAAAAAATCAAGGCACTGATGCCAAGTTTTATACTGTATGCCCTCTGTATTTCCTCCATAGAAATTTTTTATTATTTGATTAAAACCTGTAAAAAATGTATTGTACGGTACCGTTTTATGAACTAAGAATACTGAAACAAGGCACTGTCCTACGAATTCGAACGTTCAAACTTAGTGCTTGGTAACCTGGAGCCAACTTTCGTTATAAAAGGGAGTACCAAACACAACAGCGGAAGGAATTCTGCTGTAACAACTGCAGAGGGCTTTTTTTTTCCTGCACACAAAGGACACGGATACATCCATACCTCGGCGCTACAGCCGCTTATGGCTGCGAGCTGCACCGTCCCTGAGTGCATTGCTGGAAGCTGCCCACTGGACTAAGCATGGCACGGGCCAGTCAATCCTGCGGGCCCAGCCAAGATTCGTTCCTTTCTTCTCTCCCTACTCGCTGCTAAAAAGAATTCGGTTGATTTTTAATTGACAACCATTACACAAGCAGACCTCGAGCTTTCAGGGCCGCCGGTTGACTCATCTCTCGTACCTTAAGAATGTAAAAGGGTTTCGTTCTTGCCCCGCGTCTCCCAGACGAGAGGAGGAGACCGCCCGATTCCATTTTATCTGCCCTAAAGGCAACTCTCACCCTTGCAGACAACCGCTTTTAACACCCGGCTTTCCTACGGAACTTTTAAGGATACCACAGAAGGGGTTATCCGGGACGATGGCCCGTATTAAGGGGCTGGGAAGTGGCATTACCCCTTTGTTTTATCCGCTTTTGCTTTTTCCCACTGGCGTTTTGCGGGTGATGGATGACAGGCCGGCCTCCCCGCCCTGCCCCCCTCGCCCTCCCCCGATGTCTGAGCAACGGGAGGAGGTGCCGCCGCCTCGACCCACCGATAATGGCTGCGAGGAGGGATCGACTGGGGCCCTGCCGACTCCCGACC